ACAGTGCTGTGATGAACATTGGGGTGCATGTGTCTCTTTCAGATCTAGTTTCCTCAGTGTGTATGCCCGGGCTGCCTCATTTTAAAATAGCACCAAGAAGTGCTGCCCAGTCTTCAAGGGGGCTGAGAGATGCTATAAACAGTGCCAGAAGGGCCACATTCTTGTCTTGGTTTTAAAAAAAAGCATGTCTCTGGGTTTTATCCACAACACAGACCCTCCTCTCTTCTGCCCTGCATGCTGGTCTCCTGCTGTCCTACTACAGCCCAAGCCAGAAACCCTGCCTGTGGTGACATTTGGTGTTTTCTTGTGGGGGGAGGATCCCTGCAGGGATTAGGAGGTGGGAAAGGGGCAGGGCTGGAAGGGAAAGTGCTGGCTGCCATCTCTCCCTCCCCAGGGCTTCTGAGTGGCGGAACTGTGGCAGAGCTGACTTGAGGAGGGGGCTGCTTACAGGCACGCGGAAACACACAGTGGTGTCTGGGGAGGGGGCGGCTCCCAGACATGCAGGAGGAAGTGGTGAGGGGCACCGACATGCAGTCTGTGCTGAGCTTTACAGTTCGCAAGCGCTCTCACATGACTGAGTGGGCGTAGGTCAGAGGCTCCAGAGCTATTTTACAGTCATAAAAGTCGGATTTCAGAGTGGTTAGATACATTTCCCAAGAGCACACAATTTTTAAAGACAAGATAGAGCCAAACCCAAACCCAGAAATTTGGTGTTGGAAGCCTTCTGCGCCACAAAACATCTCCCTCTCTTGGTTCATCTTTGATGCCTCAAATTCAACTCTTCAAAACTGATTTCTGTGGGAGTGTAATGGCTTTTTTCTCCTATGAGACATCCCTATTTCCATTCCTGAGGAAGCATCGAATCTGAGTGTGAGTTAGTCAGAAGTCTCCTTCCCACTTAAGTGCAGACCCTCTAGAAGGAGTTTCTTAGCAGTCAGGAGAGGAGAGGGCCGGAGAAGACCCACAGAGTGGGCAGCTGTTGGCTGTCCAAGGGCCTGGATTTGTGGGGTGTTGGGGCTGTGAAGAGGGATCCAGAGGAGGCAACCCAGGAGGCCACTGAAAGAGTGAGCTTGGGAGGAGGGCAGAAGGTCAATTTCCTTCTTCCTGCTGGGCCAGCTAAGGCCTGTCCAGGGCCCCTGTGGTTCCAGCAGTCATTTGGTACAGAAGAAAATGCTGAATTCTTTGGAGTCATTATTGAGGCTTGAAAGTTTGGAACCTCTGTGTAAGCAGCAGTGTTAGGAACAGTTCAGCCAGAAGTGGACTGTGCTCCCTGAAGACCTATAATTCTAGGAACTGCATTGTTTCCTAATGGGATCACTGGTTAAAGACTCATGGAACTGAAAGGGGCTCCAGAGTGGAAGAGAAACCTAGAGATCCTGCCATCAGGGACTTGCCCAAGGCCACACAGTAAGCTAGTCTCACCCCACACTGTTGAAATTAAAGGTACTTGCGAAGCCCCGATGGGAGAGTTTGGAAAGGAAAGGTGGACACCATGTTGTCAAGCATTAGAAACTCAGAAAGTTCTCCATTCTTCCAAGGATTTAAAAAATGACAGCTGAAGTGGGGGGGCCTATGATATATTTTAAAGCAATTTGATGGTGTTATTGACATTTGAGTATTTCCAATTTGTTTTTATTGCTTGGGTGGTGAACTGTAGCAGTAGCAGCAACAAACTCTTAACATCACACTTCACTCTAAAAGCCAAAGCAGTTCCTTTCTGTAAATATAGTACAAAAAGAGACAGGCATCTGCATACAGTAGCTCTCTATCTTAATATTGCCTTCATGCTTCCAAATCAGATAAGGGACTTAACAGTTCAGAGAAAGCGTTCATCTATTCTCGGCAGAAGGTCAGGAAAGAACAGGGTCTGGTGAGCAGGCCACCTTTCTCCAAGAATGCCAGGGCCCTTCAAACTCACAGATGAGCCCCACCCCGACCCAGCAAAGTGGCAGGAAGGAGCACTCAGTCCACCTGCAGTCCAGGAAGCAGCCCTGGTGGCCAGCAGTGGGAAGGCCGTGCAGACAGGACTTAGGAATAGAGCCTCAGCTCTACACTCTCACCTCTGACACAGGGGAGTAGCGTGCTCCCTGGCTTAGCTGCTGCTCTCAGGAATTTCAGTTTCCAGGCTTCTTTTCTAAACAGCACTGCTCTCAAGGTAATTCATGGGATATTGATGAATTTCCCTTTTTCTCTTTCTAGGGAGCTCCTCCCACAAGAGCCTAGGCAACCTCCTTCCCAGGACAGGGTCCCTCCTGCACGCTCTTTTGCAGGCCTCCACCTGGCGGGCTGCCGTCTAAGGGGTCGCACAGAGTCGGACACGACTGAAGCGGCTTAGCCGCAACAGCAGCAAGGCCAGAGGACGAGCCCCTAGTGCTGTCCACCTGCTCTGTTCTCGTCTGCTCAATTCAGTAGGTGCTCACTGGGGACAGCCTCTGGGTGCAGCCTGGCATGTGTGGCAAGGGAGCGGTCCACTGCCTGACCTCGTGGCTCCTCTAGGCCAGTGAGGGGGACGGTGGTGGGGTCATGAGGGACAGGGCAGAGGGGGGCCTCCAGAGCGGGGCTGAGGAAGAGGCAGGTGGTGCACGTCCTGTCTCTCGGCTTGTTGCAGCCACAGAGCGCTGCAAGAACTGCCAGTGTCCGCAAACAGAGACTCCGGGACTCTCCTTCTGTTTTTCCCACTCCCTTGGCACCTGACCATGTGCTGTTTTGTTCTGGACTGTGGCTTACCTGTGCATCTGACTTTTGGCCTCAGCCAGATGACAAGCCTCTTCTGCTTGCCCTAGTGCTTACTCAGCCAAGGGCTGGGGTGGAGGCAGGGGTTCCCTCCACAGGTGTTTGGGTAACACACTTGTACTGGGGGGAGTCAGGTGGCTGGGGCCTGGGAGAGGGCTCATGGGCAGTGGAGGCATCGGGGGCTTGACTGCCTTCCTTTAGCCCCTTTCTCCCCAGAGACAACCAGTTTGTTCCCAGACTTCAGGCCAATGGCTCATGAGAGAAAGGTGAGAAAGGACCGGGCCGAGAAGCCCTGCCACCGCAGAGGGGAAGGGTCATTTGACAGGCGCAAAATGAAAAGTGAATGTGTGTGAAAAGATGACTGATATTTGACTGTTGTCTTAGGGCCTTTGAGTGTTGCTTCATGGCCTATCAGGGATTTCTCATCCTTGGTTAGCCTCAGATAAGGCAGGCATTGGTATCATTTCCATTATACAAATGTAAAACCTGAGGTTCAGAGAGTATTGACCTACTAGAGATCACACACTATTAAGAGGTAAACTGGGCCTGGATCCCAGCCTTACTTAGGCCAAACTCTGCTGTTGCTTGGCTAAAAGAGAAGCGAGTACATGTGAAGTGGCACAGATTTCAGAGTTCCTTTTGTGTCCCTCAGCTGGGTGTATAAGGGTGTAGAAAGGTATATAAATGCAACATATTGCTGTCCACAAAACACTTACAGCATGATTTTCTTGAAACTGCTGTAGCCAGTGAAGTAATGAGCCTTTACTAATCATGTGGATTCAACTACTTAACTGGCTGTCACTTATTGGTGACAGTGATAGGTTATGAGGATTGTGTAAAAAGTCTAAGAATGTCGACAAGGTTTAATGATTATTTTGACCATGCTACAACATGTGTTTGTGAGAATTGCATGTGCTTCTGCATCTGACAAAATCTGCTTACATCTTCAGAAAACCTTGTTATGAACAAATTTAAAACAGAAATATAGATCAACAGAACAGGATAGAAAGCCCAGAAATAAACCCACTCACCTATGGTCTATTAATCTACAACAAAGGAGGCAAGACTATTCAATGGAGAAAAGACAGTCTCTTCAATAAATGGTGCTAGGAAAACTGGACAGCTACATGTAAAAAGATGAAATTAGAGCATCCTTTAATGCCATATACAAAAATAAATTCAAAATGGATTAAAGACCTTAATGCAAGACCAGATACTATAAAAGTCTTAGAGGAAAACAGAGGCAGAATACTATTTGACATAAATCTTAGTAATATTTTTTTTGATCTGTCTCCTAGAGTAATGGAAATAAAAATATATAAATAAATGGGACCTAATTAAACTCAAAAGCTTGTGCACAGCAAAGGAAACCATAAATAAAACAAAAAGACAACCCACAGAATGGGAGAAAATATTTGCGAACAAAGCAACTGACAAGTGGTTAATCTCTAAAATTTACAAACAGCTCATGCAGTTCCATATATGCTAAAACAAACAGCACAATAAGAAAACCAACAGAAAATCTAAATGACACTTCTTCAAAGAAGACATACACATGACCAAGAGGCACACGAAAAGATGCTCAACATTGCTAATTATAGAGAAAGGTAAATCAAAATAACAATAAGATATCACCTCACACCAGTCAGAATGGTCATCATCAAAAAGTCTAAAAAAATAAATGTTTGGAGAGGGTGTGGGGAAAAGGGAACCCTCCTACACTGTTGGTGGGAATGTAAATTGGTACAGCCACTATGGAAAACTTATGGAAGTTTCTTAAAAAATTAAAAACAGAGCTACTGTATAATCTAGCAATCCCACTCCTGGGTATATACCCAGAGAAAAACATTGTTTGAAAGGATATATGTACCCAAATGTTCATTGCTATATACAATAGCCAAGACATGGAAGAAATATTCATTATCAGATGAATGAATAAAGAAGATGTGGTACATTTATACAGTAGAATATTACTCAGTCATTAAAAAGGATGAAATAATGCCATTTTCAGCAACATGGATGAACTTGGAGATTATCATACCAAGTGAAGTAAGTCAGACAGACAAAGACAAATATCATATGAAATCATTCTTATGTGGTATTTAATTAGAAATAACACAAACGAACTTATTTACAAAACAGAAACAGACTAACAGAATAAATTTATAGATACCGGGGGTATGGGTAGAGGGGAAGGATAGATTGGGAGTTTGGGATTGACATGTACACACTGTTATATTTAAAATAGATAACCAACAGGGACCTACCATATAGCACAGGGAACTCTGCTCAATACTCTGTAATAACCTAAATGAAAAAAGAATAAATATATGTATATGTGTAACTGCATCACTTTGCTATACACCTGAAACTACCACAATATTGCTAATCAGCTATATTCCAATATAAAATAAACATTTTAAAAAATAAAATGAAGAGAAAGCTTTGTCTTCAACAAATTTAAATTACTCTTTCATGTCTGATTTCAGATACTTTAAGTGGTGCATGAGAGAATAGGAATATTGATTATAGTGTTTATAAGGAATGAATATTCTATTAATAACTATTAAAATCTGCTAGACTTTGGCTAAGTCTGATATATCACTGATATATCTAGTCATAGTAAAATAAGGTGAACATATTCTGTCTTCAGCCTGATTCAAGGAGCATGTGTAGGGGTGAGAATCTTAGACTGAGCTTGGAAAGAAACAGCAATGGTTTGGCCAGAGGAAAGGGAGGTTGTGCAAGACAAAAATGGGGTGGACATGTGATGGCCTAGGACAAAGCCTGGCATAGGGCTTGTCCCTCATACTTAGGCAGAGGATGCCGAGGGACCAAGGTCTACCCGTTGCCTTCAGCTTTGCAGGCTCCAGTATCTCAGGGTGTTTCTGGTGAAATTTCCAGAAGAAAGCCAAGGTGGTCAGCTTAGGGGAATATGTGGTTCATGTTGGAACACTGGACATACCACATTACTGGAAAGACACACACTGGATGACCAGCAAAATGAAACTCAGCTTTGCAAATGCTGGCAGTGATAGGAGATTCAGTTCCAATGACCAGTTGTTTATTGACTGAATGTCAGTGCAAATCAGAACAAATGCATTCTAACCATGACAGTCACAGGATGGACACAAAGAACGAAGTGTCCCTGATCCCATGAAACAGCTCGCTGGAATTTGTGAACTCTAGTACCTAGAATGGGAGGACTCCGATATCCCTGCCCCATGACCAGACAAGATTGAGAGCCCTCACAGAAGACTGGGCATCTGTGGGTCCACTCTCTCCCAGGAGACCCCTCATCCAGACAGGGTCAGATGCAGAGCATGGTGGTGTGACTCCTGGATGAGATGCCGGCTCCTGATGCAGGTGGAATGAGCACAGCTGGAATCTGGCAGATTCTTAGTGCTGGTCAAGCCATCAAACCAGGTAAGTCCTTGGAATCTGAGCAGGAACAGGAGACTGTTCCATGCTTGGGCAGAGACTGGGGAAATGTTAGAATGTGGGCTCAGAACAGGTCTATGGAATTGAACAAACATGGCTTTTTACCTCAACTTTGCCATCAACTGAGCAACATTGGGTAGGTGACTTTATTTCTTGAGCCTCTGTTTCTTCATCTTCATCTGTAAAACAGGAATGGACATTATAACTTTATTAGGCTCAAATAAATCAGAGTAATCAGATAATGTATAAAGAGCAGGCAGCACTGTACCTGACACTTGGGGAGGGGCTTACTACGCAGTAAAGGAGCACCCTGGCCAAGGTAGCCTCACAGAGGTGGCTAACCAGGGGGCCCAGAAAGGGTCCTCAGACTTCAAGGTAGTCTGGATCCTAGATTTCTGGCAGTTCCCAAAGTTCTTTCTTAGAGGTTTGGGGCAGGGGTAGGGAGGGTTGGCGGCAATTGGAGTAGTACACACTTCAATTCCCTGGCTATGTCAAAGTGTAAAACCTCCATTTCTACTCTTGCTGCTCCAGATCCTTTCAAATGCGGAACAGAATTGCAGGATGAGACCAGACTAAGTGTCAAGAGAATTGAGATTGACTCTGTCACTCCCTGGCCGGGTGACCTTAGGCAAGTCCTGTAACCTAGACATGTATTTCTTTATTTGCATTGGGGGCAAGGTCATCTACTTGTTTGTCTGTCATAGGATCAAATCCAACCTCTTTGGCCTGGCAGTCAAACTCCTTTCATTACATTCTCTGGTCTCGACTCCCGTAAATTCTTTTCATGCCCACATGGACCTACAAAACCAAACCTTTCTTCTTACCCAGACAGAAACTTCTTGCCTAAGTCTTGTGTGTCAAAATCTTATGTACGTCTGCATTCCCTACAGTACTTAGTACAGGATCTTTCATAAAACAGATGATCACTTTATCAATCAGGATTAGGTTTGTTTACATGTGACAGGAAAATGAAAATACTAGCTTAAACAAGATAGGAATTATTTCTCTCTTACGGAAAAGAGATCCAACAGAATTGGCCGAGAGCTGGGATGATGGCTCCAGGAATCAGAAACAAATGCTCCTTTTGTCTTCTTGCTCCAACATTCTTAGCACATCACCTCATGGTACACCATGGCTGCCAAGTTCTAGTCATCTTATTCTCATTCATCCAGCATAGAAGAGAGGAGAAAAAGCACAAAAGGTGTCTTCTCTCCCTTGAGGAATATATTCTGGATGCTATATGTGACTTCTGCTCATTTCATCTTGTTGGCTAGACCTTCAGTCACATGGTCATTCTAGCTGTAAGGGGGGTTGGGGAATATTCTTTTTAACCGAGCATATTGCTGTTTCTAATAAAGTTGACAAGGAAGAGGAAGAGAAGAGACACTGACATACCCATATGGTTGCCTCTGTCAGTTACCTAAAAGAATGAAAATTATGAAAGCTCACTACCAAGTTCAAAGCCTCATACAATGGATACGATTATGATTACAAAACACCTTGTTTGAAATGGTACGGGTGTCCTGATCTTTAGGTTGGAAACATCTTGATTCTTCTTCACCTCAGGTAAGAATGTGGTGACATGGTTTTTCATAGAATGATAATTCAGAGTTATAAGTGAAGATACATTATTGGCCCTTCCCCCTTTCTACATTTTACAAATGAGGAAACTGAACTCTAGGGAGGCTAAGTAATTTGCCTGTTGTCCCGTGAATAAGGAAGGAACCAGGACTAGAATGTGAGTTTCTGGACTCTGTCAAGGGTTTTTCTGCTCCTCTGTGGAGGAGTGGCCCATTCAGTTTCTAGTGGTCTTGAATTCTGTGGGTATCCCAGTCCTGGCAGGGGATGCTGTGTGTCCAGTTCCCCTGTAGGCAGATTTAGGTCACTGCATTGTCAGCTGCATCCCTGCTGGCATGTAGTTCAAAAGCCTTCCATCTGGAGAGGGGGAAACTTCACGAAACAGAGGAGTGTGCTATTTAAATAACGAGGCTATTTTGCTCACAGCAAATAATTACCTCCTTTCCTTTGTACCTAGAATGCACAGGGTCCTGAACGAGGTCCTGAAGAGAAGCATAAGAAATGGTTGCTGCCCTTGAAGATGTGGATGTACAGATTCAGTCTTCCTTTCATTCATCTGTTAAAAAAATTATTTATTGAGCTTCTACTAAATGTAGATGCTGGGTCCAAGACTGGGGATACAACGGTAAACTGTACAGATATGCTTCCTGCTCTGAAATTGCTTACAGTCCGGTGGAGGACAGAGGCCAGTGAACAGGCAACTACAAAATAGAATTAAAAGTGCCCTGAGAGGGAGGGGACAAGGTACTCCAGGCATGTCACCTGGACTGGGGCTTTAGCGGGAGGGTCACGGCTTAGTGGGTGAGATAACACTGAAGAGGAGGCCTGAAGATTGAAGACTGAGTGCTGTGTGAGGTGCATGGAGGGTGGAAAGGAAGACTAATCCAGATAGAATGTCCCAAGGAGTATGCATGAGGAGCTGAGAAGGATTCATCATGACCAGAGTAGGACAGGCCTCTGTGACGGCGGTGAAAGAGAGGGGTGGGGAATATTGAGAAATGTGATTGGAAAGGCGGGCTGGACTGTGAAAGGCCTGTTAGAGAGTTTATATTCTATCTTGAGGCTAGTGGGATCAAGTGCTTGTGGCACAGCTGTATTTTAGAAAGAGTCCTCTAGCCTCAGGGTACAGAATGGATTGGAGGGCCAGGTCTAGAGGTAGGGAGACCACTTAGGAGGCTGTTGCATGGTGGCCTGAACCAGAAAATGGCCTTGAGAGGCAGATGGAAGTGGATGGATTTGAGATGTTGCTGAGAGGCACAATCAATGGTCTTTGGTGACTATTTGGAAGTAAGACATGAGGAAAGATAGAGAAAACCAACATTCATAAAGAAAAAAGTTAAATAAAGGCAGATGTTAACAAAGCCATGGAATAGGGGGCTATCCAGAAAAAAAAAAAAAAATGGTGGCATGACTGCATTTTAAGGCAAGGATAACTGCTGTGGGCTGAAAAGATATTAAAGGGCTTCTTGGAAGAGTTAAGATTGGAGCTGGGTCTTATGTATAGGGAGGATTTTGATGAATGAAGAGGATGTTCCAGACTGAACAATGATGCAAGTAGAAGTACTGAGAACTTTGTGGGTTTTTTTAGCAGATTGTTTGGTTGTGGTTTTCTTGGGAGAACCACAAAGAGCTGGTCCTCCAGGGGGTACAACTAAAACTTTTGATGAAAGGAAGGACTGGAGAGATGAATCTCATTGCTCTTTCAGAGTGGTAGAGTGTTCATCATGAATCCCAAGGCCCCTTGTGTTGGAACCTCAAGGGGTCTGTGACTCATTAGACAACCCAGCATGACCAAAACCCCAGAGATCCCAGCTTCCACCAGAAAAAAGACAAAAGGTGCTCCTTCCCCCAAAGGAATGTATTTATGCTTATGGGTTTTTTTAGTGACCCAGGTCCCCATGGTTAGAGCTGCTATACCTGGGTGTTGCATTATGATTTCTAAACCCCTAAAGAAGCCTGTCTGGCAGCCTGCATTCTGAGTGAGGCCTGTGGACGCAGCAGGAAGACTTCTTGAGCCCAAGACTGTGGAAGAAACAGCTGCATAACCAAGGGTGTGGAGCAGCCTCTCTGGCCATAGGGGGCAAGTGTCCTGCCAGGTACCATGCTCCCTGAGCACCCTGCCCCACACCTCTGGGTACTGGCTCCAGCTGACGGCACCCTGATCCCATCTACTCTGTCTCAAAATCTGCTGGTATCTCCTGTCTTGATCCAGCCTCTAGCCTCCGACGTTAGCTCTAAGAACTGCTGCAATCTTCCCAGGGACCCCTTTTTAGGGGCATTGGACCCTGACAGTGACCTCTAAGGTAAATAATTGCAACCATTTAAGGAGCCACAGTGCCCCAGAAGTGTGCTGGATTCTTCACGCCATCATTTCTAATGCTTATGATCCTCTTGTGAAGCACATATTATCCCATTTTACTGAAGAAGAAATTAAGGGAGATTAAATGGCTGCCCAAAGCCACCAAGCCAAACTGACCACTGTCCCACTGTCCGTATGTGAGTCAGGGAAGTCCAAGAGAAAACGTCAGCAGCATTGTGCTAAGGCACTTCACAAAGGTTACATTTTTATCCTCACAAGGACTTATCAAGATAAGTACTACTATTCCCTTTTTACGAACAAAAACACTGAGACTCAGTTTACTTATTCCACGGCCACATAGCCAAGAAGAGGCAGAGGTGGGATCCAGACCTTAGTCTGTTACCAAAACCTCCTCTCTCCACCTGTCCAGGCACCTAAACAGGTGAGCATCAAACCTCATTTCCTGAGTCCAGACTCCAGTGCTCAGGTAGAAAGCACACGGATCCAGGGACATAGTTACAGAAGAGTTGTGTACCTGAGGTCCTTTCCCAGCCCACTCATGTGAGCCTTTTGAAGTTTTTACAGAGGGAAGAACCAGGACCAGAGATGAGCAAGGGCTTTGCATAGCACCATTCGACCACTCTATTTCCTCAGTCCCTCTGCTCTCTTCATGCCTCATGGATGTGGTTCCAGGGGGTTGGGCCCATGATCTCAGCTTGTGTGGTGCCTACACTCCACTCCTCCAACTCGCCGCACCGCACCCCCCCCTCCCGCCCCCCTGCTCCCGCACACCAGCCTCCTATTCCAAGGCCAAGACTACTCAGCTTTGATTCAGGTTGAATGAGCCATTCAGGGTAAAACAAAGAAGAGGAGGTCTCTTCCTTTGCAAATGAAATGAGCCCACCCACATTTTGACTTCTTTTTGTTCTGAAATGACAGTACGCAATGACTCAGTATTCACACTCAAAGCAGACTACTTTGTATTTTTTTCTTGAAAATGAAATGTATGAAATAAATGAGCTGAAAATGGCTCATGCAGGGAGGGAAAGAAGACCTCTGAGTACATCAATGCAGCCTGGAGGCTGAATAGAACGTGCAGGAATGCGAGGGGACAGAATTCCATGGTGGGGAGGAGCAGATGACAAGGCCACGCAGCAAAGCCCTTCAAAACTCCCCAATGGTAAAACCTGAAGAAGCAAGCACCAATCCCCAAGCCTACTTGACTTAGCAAGGGCGTTCACAGGCCCTGGAGGGAGGGAAGAAAGGACTTTTGCAAAAGAGCCTTCATATGCAGGGTGTGGGGATGGAGAACTCTGTGTGTCTCATACCAGAGAGCCTCTCCAGCCAAACAGCCTGGCTGGAGGCAAATGAGAGGATGGGAAAGGGACAGCACATCTTGGCACTGACTCTCAACACTGTGTTCCTCTTGGGAGGAATGAGCCCAGAGGATCTAATCTACTACATCCTGCCCTCCTAAAGTAGGGTAACTGGCCCTGCTCCCAGGAGCTGTAGCTCACAGCTTGACTCTGGCACTACCCAGGGCCTCTGATTGTTGGTGTGGGAAAAGAGCACAGAATTGGGTGCCAGACTGTTGGCGCTTTCTCCAGCTTAGTGCTGGATGGTCTGGGGTAAAACCTCTCAGACTGTTTTCTCTGAGAAAACAGGAGGTGACTGCTCTCACCTACCTGAGAAGGTGGTGGTTGTGAGGATGAAATGAGAAAATGGGTGAAATGAGACCTATTCTATTAACTGTAAGATGCTACACAAGTGACAGTTATCGCTGTGTTTACAGGCATGGTAAATTAAATGTTTTCTGACAGACTTGATGTTACCCTGGGAATCCAAGGCAATGGGGACATTCCATTCCATTTTTTAGCATCTGAAAAAGCTGACGTTTGAAATGAATTTATTGGGAGCAAAAGTTTTCTATGGCGCTTCCTCTCCTTTGCAATGAATTCCAGCCTTTCCAAGGTGCTTGAGATGTTGCTAGGAAGCGGCTGGGGAAAGTCGACCTCCATCCTGGTTGCTTTGAAACTTCAGTTTTAATTCTGTTCAGTGAGCATCTCCATTTCAGTCATTACAGAGGGTGCAAAATTCGTGGGAGGACGATGGTCTCTTGTTTCACGGTATTGGGTTTGATAAATAATTTTTGAATAGAAAAGTCTACATAAGAACTGCTAATGGATATCTTAGTGCTGGAAGGGAAACCAGGAGACCATTAGTTCAAGCCTGAGATTTTCCAGATGAGGAACTGAGGATTAGGCAGAGGACCTAGTTTTCCCTGGGTCTCACACTTGAGTCAGTGAGCCAGGATTAATCATCTCCCAAGTGTCTTATATTTATGTGCTCCTTCCCTGGCACCAGGGTCAAGAACTCAGATGTGTTTAGGGTCCAGGCAGGCGAGAAGGAGGGCATTGGTGGGTAAGATGGTAGGAAAGGATGTTCAGTTTTCTTTAAGTTTATCCTGTTTGTGGAGAATCTGTAAATTTCTGCCTTTCACCAAACTGGGGACATCTTCAGCTATTATTTTTACAAATATTTTTTCTCTACCAACCTCTTTCTTGAGAACACCAAAGGCATGGATGTTAGACCATCTGATATCTTCCCACAGATTCCTGAGGTTCTATTCATTATTTTTCAAACATTTTCTCTCTGTTCTTCAGATTGAATAATTTCTATTTATCTCTTTCAGCCTACTGATACTTTCTTCTTTCGCCTTCTATATTAAATCTATCAAGTGAATTTTTATTTCATGTATTTCCCAGTTTTAAAATTTCCATTTGGTTCTGTTTAAAAAATTGTTTTTGTTTTTTTAACTGAGAAGTTCTAGCTTTCCATTCTTTACAAGAGTGTTTACCTTTACATCACGAAGGATGGTTATAATAGCTGCTTTGAATTTTTTCTAGCAATTACATTAATCTTGCCATTTCCTTAATAAATGAAATTTATTTTTTTTTCTGCTTCTTACCATGTTGGGTAACTTTAGATTGTAATCTGGACATTTTGTATGGTATGTAATGAGACTCTGGGTCCTCTTAAAATCATAACAAAGTGATAAGAGAAAAAATGAGGACTACCCTCATACTCTTTCCATCACAGGAAAGATTTTTGAATAATTTTGAAAAAATATGTAGATTTTTCTGAGTTCCTCAATCCAGAGATAGAGGTTTTCTCTCAGGGGTTTTAGGTACCTGAGCAACTGGCATGGTGGTAGCAGGACAGTTTGGGAGCTGCATCTGGCCTTAAGGCTGAGCTAA